GCCTCCTGCAGCTGCAGACATCTGTCTGCTCAGGCTCTCCAGGAATGGGAAGCCTTTCCAGGGTCCTTTACATCATTCCTGGGTTTTGTTTGCTGCGTGTCCTGGCTGCAGGCAGGGCAGGCTGTGCTGCCTGGCACCTGTGGTGCACACACCAGAGCTCCTGGGCACTGCAGCTGCCATCAGTGCCCTTCATCCCACCTGGCATCTGCACCTCTGTCCACTCCCCACAGTGGTGTCTGAGTCAGGAGCTGCTGCAGCTTGTTAAAATAACCTGATTAATGCAGAGCAGGGGCACTCTGGGCTGGCCCTGCTGCAGGATGGCACACTGGGCACTCTGGGCTGGCCCTGCTGGTCCTTCTGCCTTCATTTCCCTTGGCTCTCCAGTGCCATCCATCAGGAATCTTGGGAAGCTTTGCAGAAGCGTCCTGGCCTGGCAAAGCTGCCATACAAGTGTGAGCATTATTGATTTGGGGGTGCCTGGGGTGCTGGGCTGGTGGGCAGCAGGGATAATTTTAGCTGTGCAGCCAGGCAGCCCTTCCAAGGGACAGCTTTGTTTTTCAGGATGTGCAGAACCTTTATCTGTTAAAACCCTGTGAAACTCTCCATGTCCTGAGCGTGTTGCTGAGCTCTGATGTGCTGCTGGAGCCTGTCAATGGTGCCATTCAGCACACACAGGGCTCTGTGTCCCCGTGCCCAGCGCTGCCATACGGGGCCAGCTGAGCCTGGGGTCCGGGCAGACAGGGATGCTGGGCTGGCAGCAGTGCCCAGGGGAATGGCAGCAGGGCCCAGCGCTGCCCTGGGCTGGCAGCAATGCCCAGCACTCCCCTGGCTGCAGGGCACAGCTGGGCACCTCCTGGACCTGCCCTCCTGGGGCATCCTGGACAGAGCTTTGGGTTATTTTGTGTTTTAGCACATCTGAGCAGTTTTGGGCTGTCTGCTCAAGGTGTGCTGTGTAGGAATGTGTGCTGGTGAACTTGGTGAAAATGAAGTGCTGGGGTTTGGTCTCCGTGGGTGTGTGAGGCTGTGTGTGTGGGAAAAGGCACCAAAATGGGCTCTGGGGGCTGTGGGACCACTCTCCCTGCCTTGGGGGTTCTGCCTTTGGTGGCTGTGCCCATGGCCCTGCTCCTTGGGGTCACCCTGCTGTCCTTGGCACCCCCTGACCTCCATCTGTGCCAAGCTGTGGCAGCCTCTCCACGGGCTGTTGTGCAGAACACGATGGCAGAAGCTGTGCTGGAGGTGGGGTGGGCTCTGCCCATCTGGTTTTATGTATTTGCTCATGATGATTCAGAGGGGGAACCTGCCAGCAGCTGCCAGCCCATCCTCAATCACTGATTAACTCCAACCACCTGGTGGAGAAGTTGTTAAATGAACAGATCAGTGCTAATTCTGCACGGAGGTGACGCTGGGGCTGGGCCAGGCTGGTGTCTCACGGGAGCAGGGCTTTGCTGACCTTGCTATGAAGCTCAGAGAGGGAATTTAAACCTTCTGCAGCAAGTGAAGCGTTTGTGATGCTGCCCTGACACTGGGGCTGGCTGGGTGGAACTGCAAACTGGCAGCTGCAAACGCTGCTCTCAGGCACCGGGTTCTCGTTGCACCAGGTTCTCATTGCTGGATTCCTGCAGGAACCACGGGCCCCGGCTGGGTGGGTGTCCCGTGCTGAGTGCTCCGAGCATCCCTGGCCTTTCCCAGCTCTGACCCTGCCCAGAGCCCCTCCCTGGGCTGCAGGAGGGCAGAGTGAGCCCAGAAGGGTGCTGTGCTGAGCCCCGGCTGGCTGTGGGCACAGACACCACGCTGCTGCTTGGTGAGCAGCCTCAGGAGGCAGGCTGTAATGTGGAGTGGCTGCTCCCTGGATTACCCATGCTGGCTGGCCCCTGGGAGCTGGGAGGTGCTGTGTCTGCTTCCTGCAGCCAAAGGAGGGCTGAGCCCCCAGGTGTGCCCTGCTTTTGGGGCACAGGGGCTGCTGCTGGGGCTGGCATTGTCCTCCTGTCCCTCTCCAGGGCTGGCAGGGACAGACAGACAGCCCGAGCTGCTGTTCTGCTGCTCTTTGCTGGGGGGGAAGGAAGGGGCAGGAGTCTCAGTTCCTGTTGTCCACTTGAGCAGTAAATACAGGCTATTAAGCAGTTTTCTTTGCAGGAAGTGTAGAAATCCTGCTCCGTGTGAGCCCAGAGCCCCAGCAGCATCCTCTGCTCCCCCTCTGTGGCACATTAACCCTTGACGGCCACACTCGGCAGCAGGCTTGTCTCTAGCCTGAGCCACCCCTGCTGCTGCTGGCCCTGTCCTGAGGCAGAGCTTTGTGCTGCTTGTGCAGCAGAGTGGCTGCAGAGCCCCCGTCCCCTCTGAGCCCCTCACTGTGCCCTGGCTGCCCTGAGCTTCCCACCACGGCACCGGGCAGCAGCGCCAGGCAGGGGGATGTTTGTCTCCCTGACAAATCAAACCCACCTCAGTTTGATGGGCTCTGGTTCCTGCCTGGTGTTTTGGGGTGCTGGCTGCAGACCTGGCTCAGTGGGGTCACCCCAGGGTGCTGCACTCGTGGAGGAGGGGTGGGAAACCAGGACACAATCCTTCTACAAATGGCCTTTTTCAGTAGTTCCAAATTCCTTCGGAAGAGGCTTTTCATGTCAGAAGCAACCACTTCAGTTTAACTTTTGTGGTAACAGCAGCCACTTCCCAGAAAGTCTGAGCTGAGGAGGAGGAGGGACACAGGAGCACGAGGGGCTCCCTTGCTGCTGATCCTTGTGGGATTCCTGGGGCTGGAGAATTCCCTTCAGGCAGGTTTGGGGAGCCCTGGAGCTGCAGTGTGTGCCTGGGATGGAATTCAGGCAGCAATTCCCTGGCTGCAGAGCGAGGGGGACAGCGGGGAGCAGGGACAGCCACAGGGGTGATCTGGGTATCTGAGGCTGCTTCCAGGACAGGCTGCTGCCCTCTGACCTGCTGGGAGCTGCCCCTGCTCCTGCTGTCCCTGGGGTGGGTGTGCAGGGTGCAGTGGAAGGGGAGGATGCATCACTTTTAACAGGGCATTTATTTCAGATCCCTGGTTGCTGGAGCTGTGCAGGTGGGCCTGTGTGTGCCAGTTTGCTGTCAAGGGCACTTTCCTGAGGGGATTGTCCCATCCTCACCAGCCCAGGTGGGAAAGGGGAGCCATGGAGGTGATGATGATGATGATGATGATGATGATGAGACCTGCAGCCTGAGCTGGTTGTGTTGCTCAGGCAGAAGGGTTTTTCAGGCTTTTTGTGGTGGCTTTCCCTGATGCTGTGGTTGGCTGATCAAGACAGCAGAGAACTTGGGAGGAACACTTGCCAGCTCCTGCTGTGACTCATGTGCAGGGTCTGGGTGTTCTGCTCGTGCCTGAGAGGAAGCAGCAGATTCTGTGGAGCCTTTGCAGGGTTTTGGGGTTGCTTGTTCACAGCCCTGGGGAAGAACAACCCAGAGGATTGTCAGGGGGGTGCCCTGCTCTCCCTGTGCCTTCCTGCTTCCCCTGCAGGGCTGCTGTCCCAAAATGCAGCTGAGGGGTCCTGGAGGGGATTCTGGGCATGGGTGCCCCTCTCTCATTTTCTGGCTGATCCTGCTGCTAATTTTATCCTTTATCACTGTCACTGCAGGAGTTATCTCCCTCACCCCCTGCCTCTCCCCTGCCTATTTATAAACACCATTGCTGTCAGTGCTGCTGCCTCCAGAGGCTTCCTGGCTTTGCTGTGGCTCCTGCCTGGTCCCAGAGCCCTGAGCTGCTCCTCACTCTCAGGTGGGGCAGAGGGTGACCCAGGAGAGGTGACTGAGGAGAAGGTGACATTGGAGAGGGCAGGACAGGCCTGTCCCTGGCTGGGGAGCTCAGTCCTCCAGGTGTCCATCCATCCCTGTGCTGCAGGAGCCTCTCCAGCTCTGGCGTCCTGCCCAGGGCTGTCCCAGTGCCCTTTGCTCAGCCCTGTGCTGAGCTGGAGCAAACCCTCCCACCCTCCTGAGTCCCTCTTCTCAATCCTGCCCAGGAGCACTGGGGAAGCTTCCCCAAAACACATGTGTCCTGTTTCTGTGGGTGCCAGTGGAGGCTGCTGGCAGCTCCAGGCACAGGAAGGGTGTAAAAGCTGTAAATCCATGCTTGTTCCATCCTCCAGGGAGCAAAGTGCAAATCCTGCTATGTGTGAGCCCTCTCCTCCTGAAGCCCCCTCTGTACTTTTCCACAGGGAAGGCTCCCAGGATTTCCCTGTCCCTGCCTGCCTTGGCTGGGTGATTTCCTGCTGCCTTAGGAACCACTTGTGTGGAGGCAGCTGGGACTGAACCGGGCAGGATTAACCCCAGGCTGTCAGCAGCAATACTGGGAAAACAGCTTTGATGCTTGGAGAAAGTTGCCAGCTCCCTTATCCCATGGGGAAAGCAAAACACTGGGACTCTGCTGTGGTTATCTCTTGGCTGTGGTGCCTGAGAGGAGGAAATGGCCTTTGCGTGCACACACATTTTCCACCGGTGCTGGGAAAGGGAAAAACCCTGGAATTTTGGGTTTTGGGTGAAGAAATGCATGGGGGAGGGAGCACTGTGAGTTCTTCACACGGGCAGGGCTGCAGCCACACGGTGCCTTCGGTGGCCCCAGGACTGTCTGTGTGTGCCAGGTTAGCAGGGCTGGCCTGAAAAGCCAATCCTGGATGCACTCAGGTCACTGTGAGTAAGAACTTAATAGGATGCAGATCTCAGAGGGAATCTGCAGCTCGGGAAGCACCAAAGCTCTGTGCTGCTGCCTTCCCTGATGCCAGGGGCATGGCAGAGGGGCCATCTCCTGGGGGCAGTGTCCCCGTGTGTCACTGTGCCCCGTGGCTCTTTGGCTGTTCTGAAGTGCCGTCTCCTGTGGGGTATTTGGGGGTGCTGAAGGGACCCCACAGAGCATCCCTGGTGTGGGTGCAGCAGGGCAGCGCTCTGGGGCTCCCCTGCTGGCAGGGGTCCCTCTGTGGGTGTCTCCTGGCTGGGATCATGCCTGTATCCTGCTGCTGGGGCCCTTTCCCGTTGGTGATGTCCCTGTGTCCCTGCTCCCACAGACCTGTCGGCCGCCAAGCGCAAGTTCGCCGATTCCCTCAACGAGTTCAAGTTCCGCTGCATTGGTGACGCCGAGACCGACGATGAGATCTGCATAGGTGAGTCCTGCTGATCTGCATAGGTGAGTCCTGCTGATCTGCATAGGTGAGTCCTGCTGATCTGCGTAGGTGAGTCCTGCTGCTCCTGGAGCCAGCCCCGAGCAGGGCACCGAGGGAAACGCACCAGGACACCCAGGGAATTGTCTGGGTGCCCTCTGGAATTGCCTCATTCCCCCTGGTTCCAGGAGCACAGCCTTTCCCAGGGAATCACCTGTTGCCTCTTGGCCTAAATCTGTCCCTGCCAGATGGGAAAGGGAGAAGATTGCCTGTGTCTGGAACCACCTCAGTTAGCTGGATGCTTTGCACTGGAGAGGAGCATCTGGAGGTGGTTGTGGCTGGATACACTGCGAGGGGCTGTGCTCTGAGGCAGAGGAGCAGCAGAGTCACACAGGGGGGAATCAGCAGTGCTGAGCCTGGCAAGGCTCTCTGAGCTCAGCCTGGCTCTGCCTGAGCTTCTCCTGGCACAGGGCAGTGGCTTCAGCCTCTTCCCTCTCTCCTCCTGCTCCTGCCCCAGCTGAACTTTTAGAGCTTATTGTGCACATCGTCTGGAGCCAGGAGAGCAAAGAAGCTTTAGCCCTGATTTAACTTTGCTTGTTTATTGGTGCCCAGTCTCTCAGCAGAAATAGCTCCTCATCCAGGTCTCCCTGTGCTGGGGAGCTGCCCCTGTGTGCTGGGCATGGCTGGAGGCCAGTGCTGTGCTGTGGGGCTGGTTGGTGACAGACTGTTGGGCAGAGCAGGTTTGAGTGAGATGTTGCTGTCTGGAGGAGGAAGCCTGGTCCTGGGGATGCTCTGCTCCCAGCTGTAGGCAGCAGGAGCCTTTATAGGGAAAGAGCAAGGCTAATAAAAACCCCAACCTCCCCACCCAAAACACAGACAGACAGAACCCCTCTGTGCAGTTCCTTTCTTTGAGAACTGAGTGTTACATGCTGCCTGTGTCCCTTCCAGCCAAGTCCCTGCAGGAGTTTGCCACGGTGCTGCGGAACCTGGAGGACGAGCGGATGCGCATGGTACGGCCCCAGCTGGCCTGGGAGCAGGGGTGGTGGCACCTGGGGCACCGTGGTGACTGTGACTGCTGCCCCTGTGCTCCTTCCCTCACCTGGGGTGGAGCTGCAGGGGAGGGCAGAGGAAGGAGAGGGTGGCTTGGTGGGGAAACGCTTGGAAAGCATCAGGAATGGAGTCTTGCTGTTGGAGAGCAGCTTGCACTGCTGCTGGGGGGTCACAGGTGTGCAGAGACAGAGGGGTGAAGCCTGGGGGTGTCTGGGCTGTGGGAGGGTTCCCATGGAGCAGGGGAGCTGAGCTGTGCCTGTCTTTGCCGCAGATTGAGAACGCCAGCGAGGTGCTGATCACGCCGCTGGAGAAGTTCCGCAAGGAGCAGATCGGGGCTGCCAAGGTAACCCAGGCACTGCCCCCGAGCTGGGCAGGAGCTGGCACTCTGCAGGGTGGGCTCGGGCATGGCAGGGGGCAGTGGCTGCTCTGGGATGGGCACGGGGTGATCTGGTTCCTGGGGAGTGCCTCAGTGTTCCGAGTTCACCCACAGCCAAATAACTGCCCAGGGCAAAAACTGCATGCTAACCAAAGTGAACTTTTCTCCTTATTCCAAGGAACAATTAGGATTGTTTGGAGGGGCTCACGTTCTCCCGAGTCCCCCAGGCTCCCCTCCCCAGCCCAAGGATGGCTGGGGGCTGCAGGGGAACTCGGACGCTGCTGGCAGGACGGGGAAGCGCCGCTGTGGCTGAGGGCGGCCGTGAGACAGCCTGGCCCCCCCTTCCTTTCCTGCCTTTGTTCTGAAATGAAAACCACTGTCTGTGGCTCCCCTGTCGTTATAACAACCTGCTGCTGCCTGCAAGCAGCTCATGCCAGCTCCCAGGGCTGCGTTTGCATGGCAGCAGTGTCCAGTGCAGCTGGAAACAAACACAGAAACCCAGAGAGGGTCCTGCAGAGCACACCTGCTTACCTGCAAACACAGAGAGGGGTCCTGCAGCACACACCTGCTTATAAACACAGAGAGGGGTCCTGCAGAACACACCTGCTGGCATGGATTGGGCTCTGGCATTGGGCTGGCCAGGCTGGGACAGGGTGCAAAGGAAAGTGAAGTTGGTGTCCTCAATGCTGCTGCCACAAACAGCCGAGGTGCTGTGTCATTGTCCCAGGTCACACAGAGGAGAAGCTCTTGAAGGGGTGGCAGGGTGGGATGTGGAATTGTGACCAGGTTCTGCTTAGAAAGCACTTTCCTCGCTCTGTTGCTTTTGGAGCTGGATCTGGATGTTTTAGCAAGCCCTGGGCCCCAGGAGCAGAGGAGGGGTTCCCTCAAGCCCTGGGGTTTGGCAGCACAAGCTGCTTTCCTGTAGCTGCTGATGCTGGCAGATAAAGGCAGCCTCACCTGCTTCCAGCTGCTGCCCCCAGGTCCTGTCTCATGGTAGCTCCCACCTGGCCCTGCCATCCTGCCCAGTGCCACAGGGATGCTGCTCTGGCACCCTTGTGTTCAGTGTCACACTTCCTGTCCTGTTCTGTAGGATGCCAAAAAGAAATACGACAAGGAGACTGAGAAATACTGTGGTGTCCTAGAAAAGCACTTGAACTTGTCTTCCAAGAAGAAAGAATCCCAGCTTCAGGAGGTGAGAGTGACCTCTGAGTTTCCATGTCTGGCTGTGACTGGGGAGTTTACACACTGTTTATAACAATGGTTCTCCTGGCTGTAAACTCATTTTTTCCCTCATTCTGGCTGCGGGTGCTGGGTTTTCCCCTTTTCCTGTAATGAAAGGATATGGAGTTTTCTTGGTGAGTAAATCAGAGAGATCCCAAAATGGATAGCAATCAAAAAGGAGAGAGGGTTTATAATTAAAGAGTGTAACAGAAAGGAACTGGTTCTGCTGCAGGCTTCCCATGTGCCAGCACAAATCATGGATGTCTGGTCTCCTTCTCTGCAAGTGGCTGCTCTGCTCTGTGCTCCAGGGGAGGAAGGAGCAGGCTTAGTGCCTTAAACCCTTTAGGAGCCATCAGTGATTCAGGACGTGGTTAGGTGTGGTGACAAGTGCTCCCACTGGATGAGTATGCTGAGTTTTCAATCACTCCTTTCAAGTCTGGAATTCCTAGTGCTGGCCCAGGGTGGGTTGGTCCTGCAGGGTGTGTGTCCTTGCCCTTGAGCATGGTGCTGGTGTGCTGCCAGTCCCTTACTGGGGGCACTGGTGGGCTCCTGTACCCAGGTGGTGGGACCGTGCCCAGCAGAGCAGAAACACCTGGGGCACAGGTGGTCATCCTCCAGCAAATCAGGGCTGAGGAGGGCTCAGCATCTGGGCAGGTGTGCCTGCAAGCCAGCCTTGTCCTTGGGGTGTGTAAATAACACCCATGTGTGTAAATAATACCCATGTGTCCCAGGGAATGGTGGCCTTTAAATGAGCCCTGGTTTAGCTTGTGTTTGAGATGCTGATATGGGGCAGGGAGCAGAAGGAATTCTGGCTGGGGAGGGAATGATCCTGAGATCCACTCGTGGCTGTCAGAGGTGTGATCTGTGCCCTGGACAGAGCGTGGCCCTGGGGGCTGCCTGGAGGTGCCAAATGGGGTGCAGAGTGGGATATGTGTGGGATTCTGTTTGGGATTCAGTTGGGGATGTGTGCGGGATTCAGTTTGGGATTCGGTTTGGTATTCGGTTCAAGATGTGTTTGGGATTCTGTTTGGGATTCAGCACGGGATGTGTGCGGGATCAGTTTGGGATTCTGTTCAGGATTCTGTTTGGGATGCGTTTGGGATTCTGTTTGGGATTCAGCTGGGGGTGTGTGCTGGATCAGTTTGGGATTCAGCATGGGATGTGTGCGGGGTAAGTCCGGGATTCTGTTTGGGGTTCAGTTTGGGATTCAGCACGGGATGTGTGCAGGATCAGTGCGGGATTCAGCTCGGGATGTGTAGGGCATCAACGCAGGATTCAGTTTGGGAACTCTTTGGGATTCTGTTCGGGATTCAGCTGGGGCTGTGTGCGGGGTCAGTGCGGGATGCCGGGCCCGTGCCGGTGCGCTGGAGCAGCGCCGCCTGCTGGTGCCATCTGGTGGCATCTCCCACCCGGGCCTGGCTCGGGCCGCTGCCGGGCAGGCCGGAGGAGCCCGCTGGAAGCAGCTCCAGCTCAGGGGCCGGCTCCTGTTCCCCCGTGCCCGGGAAGTGTCCGTGGTTTGTGTGGCTCAGACCCCCGAGGGAGAGCTTACCTTAGAAAGAGAATTCGGTGTGGAGCTGTGAACTGTGGATGTGGCATCCCTGGCGAGCACGGTGCTACATCCAGAAAAGGGAGAGTTGCCTTTTCTTGTCAAGTTTACGGATTTCCAGAAAAGGGAGGGTTGCCTTTTCTTGTCAAGTTTACGGATTTCCAGAAAAGGAAGAGTTTCCTTTTTTTGTCAAGTTCATGGATTTCCAGAAAAGGGAGAGTTGCCTTTTCTTGTCAAGTTCACAGTGATTTCCATTTTTCTCACCTCTACTGCATGTTTTGTACCCAGCTGTTGGGGAGGTAAGAACGTGAGTCACACACCCGTTTTCCTCAGCTGAAGGCAGAGCTTGCTCATGTGGATGAGGTTTATGTGTGTTCCTGTGCCATCTGTCCAGCTGGGCCTGGGGCTGGAGCTGGGTTTGCTGTGCCTGGGGGTGCTCCCATCAGGGCCAGCTGTGCTCTGGTCCTTCCTGAGCTCTGTTTCCTCTGCACCCCCTGCAGGCAGACAGCCAGGTGGACCTGGTTCGGCAGCACTTCTACGAGGTGTCCCTGGAATATGTCTTCAAGGTGCAGGAGGTCCAGGAGAGGAAGATGTTTGAGTTTGTGGAACCTGTAAGTGAGCTCTGAGTCCGACTCAGCCTGCCCAAAAGTGGGGAGCTGTGGTGAAACGGGGTCATGGGGAGCCCGGGCAGGGCCAGGGGGTCCAGCCTCACCCCACAGCCCCTCCACCCTGGGGGGCTGCAGGGCCCCCTCCCCTCAGCACTGGTGGCTCTGGGTGCAGCTCTGGGTCTGCACTGACCATCTCCGTTTGCTTTGCCCCAATGCAGCTGCTGGCCTTTCTGCAGGGGCTCTTCACGTTCTACCACCACGGCTATGAGCTTGCAAAGGACTTCAGTGACTTCAAGACAGAGCTGACAATCAGCATCCAGAATGTGAGTGTGCCCGGGGTGTCAGTGTGCCCGGGGTGTCCCTGTGCCCATCTCTGTCTGTGTCTCCAGAGCCACCTCACCTTCTGGTGTATTTTAATCACAGAATCCCAGGCTGGTTTGGGTTGGAAGGGACCTTAAAGCTCATTCAGTGCCACCCCTGCCATGGCAGGGACACCTCCCAGTGTCCCAGGCTGCTCCAGCCCCAGTGTCCAGCCTGGCCTTGGGCACTGCCAGGGATGCAGGGGCAGCCCCAGCTGCTGTGGGCACCTGTGCCAGGGCCTCACACCCTCACAGGAAAGAATTTTTTCCTAATATCCAATCCAAGTCTCTCCTCTTTGAGTTTAAATCCATTTCCCATGTCCTATCACTATTGACCCATGTAAAAAAATCACTCTCCCTCTTTTTGTAAGCCCCCTTATAGTTCTGGCAGGCCTTGCCAATTGTTGTAATATTTTTGCTTTAGCTTGAATTCAGGCCCAGGAAGCAAACCTGCCCTGTGGCTGCCCCTGGGCTCCCCACAGGGCTGTATGCCCCATCCCCACCCCATGTCCTGCAGAGCCAGGCTCAGGTCCCTGCACTGGAGAACACATTCCTGTTTTAATTTGCAGACAAGAAACCGCTTTGAAGGAACAAGGTCAGAGGTTGAAGCTTTGATGAAGAAGATGAAGGAGAATCCCCACGAGCACAAAAACATCAGCCCCTACACCATGGAGGGCTATCTCTACGTGCAGGAGAAGCGTAGGTGCAGGGCTGGGGGCCTGGGGGTGCAGCCTGGGCAGGGGGACGGGGGCACAAAGGCTGATCCAGCAGGCACAGAGCCCTGGGAGTGGGGATGGGGCAGCCAGGGAGAATCCTGCCAGCATTCTGTTAGGTACAGGAGCCTGGCACGTGAAATGATGGTCAGACACAGCAGGGTCTGATGGGAGGGCACTGGAACTGCTCTGGGCATGAACCCTGTGCTTGCTCTGCAGGTCACTTTGGGACTTCCTGGGTGAAGCATTACTGCACCTACCAGAGGGAATCCAAGCGCATCACCATGGTGCCCTTTGACCAGAAATCAGGAGGGAAAGGGGTGAGTGAGGGCTGGGAGCAGGAGGGAAAGGGGTGAGTGGGTAGCAGGGCCGTGTCCCAGTGCTCCCAGGGCCGTGTCCCAGTGCTCCCAGGGCCGTGTCCCAGTGCTCCCAGGGCCGTGTCCCAGTGCTCCCAGGGCCGTGTCCCAGTGCTCCCAGGGCCGTGTCCCAGTGCTCCCAGGGCCGTGTCCCAGTGCTCCCAGGGCCGTGTCCCAGTGCTCCCAGGGCCGTGTCCCAGTGCTCCCAGGGCCGTGTCCCAGTGCTCCAGGGCTGTCCCAGTGCTCCCAGGGCCGTGTCCCAGTGCTCCCAGGGCCGTGTCCCAGCTCCCAGGGTGGTGTATCCAGGGCTGGCTTTGCTGCTCTGTGCAGCAGGAACAATAGACCCCTGCACAGAGTTCCCAGCTGGGACAGTTTGCAAGCACAATCCCCTTGCTGGGGAGAGCCTGGGGCAGCTGGACAGGCTCCCACACGGCTTCCTGCTGGCACAGGGAGCCAGCTGTGGGCAGGGAAGCTTCTAAAATTAATTTCCTCTTGCCTTGGAGCATCTTCATTATAGCTCAGCATTAACATATCCCAGCCCTGTAATCATCAGTGGCTGCACTGTGTTTTGTCTGGTCCCTTCCCATTGCAGGGCTCTCCCAGCACCCAGGGCTGTGCAGGGCCAGGCTGGAGCCCTGTCCAGGGCTGTGCTTGCACCACCCTGCCATGAAATGCTGCCTTTGCTGGGCTCCAGGGTCTGTCAGTGGTGACCACCATGGACATCTGGGCATGGAGCAGCCCTGGGGCTTGGGGCTGGGGATTCTGTGGGATGGGCAGGACTGAGTGCCAGGGAGGGTTTGGGTGCCAGGAGATGAATGGTGGTGGCTCTGCGGAGGAGTTCATGGATAGGAACCAGGCAGTCACCCTCCCTGGGGGGATTTAATGGATGTGTGGTTGTGGCACGTGAGGACATGGATCAGTGGTGGGCTTGGCTGTTCTGGGCAGCCTTCACACTCTCATCTTTGAGGTCTTTTCCAATCTAAGTGATTCTAAATGTGTTTCCTGGAAAAATGGTGATGTCAGGGAACAGGGTGGTCAGCCAAGGTGTCATCAGGAACAGCACAGGGAGCCCAGAAAAGTGTCTGTCTCCAGGAACTCCTTCAGAATTCATTTTCTCTTAAGTCATGAGTGGAATTTCACAGTTGCAGGAGCAGTGTGTGCACTGGCAGGGGCTGAGGCAGGATTCCCTCCAGCAGAGGACAGCAGTGCTCACAGATCCTGAGCTCAGCCCTCTGGAAATCCAGTTCAGCGGGGATGCAGAGAGGCATTCTCGGGCTGGGAGAATGGTTTTGTCATTGCTTTGTTATACAATAAACATTTTAGGACGTGTTTGCTCCTGTTAGGAGTCCTCGTGTGCACAGTGCTGCCAAAAATGCAGCGTGGAGTGCAAACTGCCAGCAGGACTGTGTTCAGCAATGGAAAATAAAGCTGATTTTGCCCATGGTCCAGCAGTACCTGCCCACATGAAGAATGGGTTATTGGTGCTTTATGCACAGATTGAACGGTGGGCATCCTGAAGGGAAGGCTCCTCATGAAAGGTTTTGGACCAAATAAGGGTAAAAAGACAAGTCCTCCTGTCAGAGATATAAATGGATGTTTTTAGCAGGGTGCTGTTGCCAGATCCCCCAGGTCTGAACCTGCTCATTGACAGCTGGGGACAGGCCTGTGGCTGCTGGTTGCTCTCAGCCTCAGCTGAGATTTTGTCTCTTCTCAGGGGGAAGATGAAGCTGTCACCCTGAAATCCTGCACCCGGCGGAAAACAGACACCATTGAGAAGAGGTTCTGCTTTGACGTGGAGGCTGTGGATCGGTGGGTGCTGCCAGGAACCTCCTGGGGCTGTGCTGGCCTGGGGAGGGAAGGGCTGTGCTCCTCCTCTGTGCTCCTTGTGCTCCTGTTCCTTGTAATCCTGTTTCTTGTGCTGCTGCTCCTTGTGCTGCTGCTGCTGTGCTCTGTGCTCCTTGTGCTCCCGCTCCTTGTGCTCCTGTTCCTGGCTGTGGGACAGTTCCTGTGCAGTTCCTGTGCAGTTCCTGTGCAGTTCCTCTCTGTCAATCACACTCAATGAGTAGAAAGCATTAATCCAAGGAGTCACACCTTTCCCAGCCAGGTGCTCTCCGTGTATTGAGGCAGTGCTTTGGTTTACAAGCCTCTCTGACTCAAGTCTCTCTGGCTTTGAGGGTGTTTTAGCACCTCTGCAGCCTCTGGCCACACAAGGTGAGGGTTGCCAGCCTGGAGAAGGCTCTGTGGCTGTTCTGGAGGGATGTGCTGCCTCTTCCAGCATTGGAACAGTGTCTGCTTTCCTGCTGGGCTGGCTGTTACTGGTTCATCATGGATGCTGACAATGGACTCTGGCTCATGCCTCCTTTCATTCCTTTTTCCTGAAGAAAGAAAACACTTCAGCTGTGACTTATCCCACAGCAGCTGGACCAGAGGTGTGTGTGGGTTCAATCTCTGGCACAAGGAGTGAGAGCTGTGCCATATCAGCTGGCATCATGCATGGCTCACACACACAAACAGGAAAGCCAGGCTGCTGTTGCTATTCCAAGAGGAATTTGTCACTGCCTGGGTCTCCTCACTGCAGGAGTTCCCTGCTCCAAAGGCACTCAGTGTGCTCTCCCAGTTGTGTGCCTGTCCAGCTCTCCTCCCATCTGCAGGAATTCCCTGGAGGTCTCAGAAAAACCCGAGTTCATTGAAATCTGGGTGTTGAATAATGCTGGAATGCCCTCTGGTGCCTCTGCCTGTCCAGCCTTGGGCAGTGTTTCAGTGCCAGCCCGTGGCAGGGAGGGTTGGGTGATGGAGCTCTGCCTGTGCTGGCTGAGGCTGGAGATAACCTGGGGCTGCCTCCCACTCTCTGGGGCTGTGCTTTTCTCCAGAAACCTCCAGTGTTTCTGCTGACACAGGACATTTTTTTTTGCTGTGCCCTGAGGATATTTTTTTATAATGTGAAAACCAAACTGAAAAGCGGGAGAAGGAGAGTGGAGCCTCAATAATTTTCTTTAGAGTGTTCAGAGGCAGCTGAAGCTTCCCTTGATGTTTGGAGCCTGCCAGGCATGGGATCAGGAGCTGCTCCAGAAATCTGCATGCTCCATGTAAATCATGGCAGTGGAGTAGCACAGGAAGGGGAAACCTGAGGAATTTCTCCTTTCATGTGCACGTTCCTGCTGCAGGGATTTGCCTGAGAGAGCAGGACACAGCTGAAGGAAAAAGCTGTTTTTTCCCAATATACAGGCAGCTCTGCATTCTCTTGGTATCAGAATTTGTCATTAGATGTCTAAAATATTGGATAAACTTAAAAGGAAGAGGAAACAAGTTTTGCTGTGCTGTGCCCAGGCTGTCTGCCTGCTCCTGGGGCAGATCTGGGTCCTGCTGTGAGTGCAGGCTGTGCTGAGATCGCCTCCATCCATCCACCCTGCCAGCTCCGGGCTTGGCTGTCCCACAGCTCCCAGGCAGCCTGGAGGTGGCAGCCTCGGCCTTGCTTCACACACTGAAACACAGAAACTTCTGTCAGCCCTGCGCTTTGGGAGCTCAGACAGCACAGGCTGAGGACTGGAGCTCAGCAGGAACTCCCTAAATAGCACCAGCCAAGAGCTGTTCCTTCCTAGGTGGGAAAAAAAGTGTGTTTTTCTCCTGTAAAGATGATTCAGCACAACCAAGCTGAAAATCTGGAGCCTGGTCTGTTATTACAGCATTGCTTCCTTGTCTCAGCATCCCAGAATAGTTTCTGTTGGACCTTAAAACCCGTCTCATCCCACCCCCTGCCATGGGCAGGGACACCTTGCACCAGGCCAGGTTGCTCCAACCCCCATCCAGCCTGGCCTTGGCATTTACAAATGGCTCTCATGTTCAGTATAGCAAGTTAGAAGTGTTGTTACAGCAAAATTAACCCCAAATGGTGTTTTGGGTCTGCCTGAAACACACCCCCAGCGTGATGGACACTGTGTTTTACTGCTAATGCTCTTTTCTCATTAACTGAACTTGTCTGTAGTCTCTGCACATTAAATCAGGTTTGTAAACAAGGTGAGCAGGGATGTCAGGCAGTGTCTTACCCTGGGGAGGAGGAGGAGGATCTCATTTGAGTGATGACAAAGGCTGTGTCATTTAGGATAATGTAGGTCATTGCTCTGGGCCAGAAGCAAACTGCTTTGAGTGCCAGCTGGCTTTTAGGGGAGCAGGAGCCCTTCAGATGCAGGGTTTGGTGTGTCAGGAGAGCAGTGAGCTCTGCAGGCACCACCATTGCCCAGTGGGCGCCCCCAGGGTGACTGGCACCACACCTGGTGCACAGTGCAGCTCCAGAGCCACAATCCCAGCGCCTCTGAGGTGGGAAAAGACCCCCAACACCCCTGAGTCCCACCTGTGCCTGATCCCCACCTTGTCCCAGCCCAGAGCTCTGAGTGCCGCTTCCAGCCCTTCCTTGGGCACTCCAGGGATGGGCACTCCAACCCTCCCTGGGCAGCTCCAGTGCCTGAGCCCCCTTTCCATGGGGAAATTCCTGCTGAAAGCAGAATTGGCACAGGGGCTGGGTGGTTGGCCTGGGCTGGGAGGGCTGCCAGGCACCTGCAGGTGCTGCCCTGAGCAGATGGTGACCCCAGGAGGGCCGCTGGCCTTGCTCTGAGGGTGCAGGGCTCTGACAGGGCAGGAGCTGTCCCTGCTGCCCTGGCAGGTGAGCCCAGCCCTGCTGTGCTGTCCCTGTGCCTGCAGAGCCCCAGTGGGTACAGCCTGTCCCTGTGCCCCTGCCACCTTTCAGACACAGCCTGGGGGCTGTCACAGGGATGGGGTGGCACAGAGAGGGATGGGGCTCCTTCCCCTGGTGGCCACGGGAGCCACGGTGGCACTGACCCCTGTGGGACGTGCTGGTGGCTGTACTGGTGGGCACCCCAACTTCCTGAGGTCAGGGTCAATCTCCCCCTTAATTCCAACTTTGCTCCCCAGCAATTTGGAGTCAATCTTCCCTTTAATTCCATCTTTGCTCCCCACCATTTTTGGGATCAATCTCCCCCTTAATTCCATCTTTGCTCCCCAGCATTTTTGGGGTCAATCTCCCCCTTAATTCCATCTTTACTCCCCACCTTTTTGGGGTCAGTCTCCCCCTTAATTCCATCTTTGCTCCCCACCATTTTTGGGATCAATCTCCCCCTTAATTCCAGCTTTACTCCCCACCATTTTGGGGTCAGTCTCCCCCTTAATTCCAGCTTTGCTCCCCAGCATTTTGGGGCCACATTTTGGCTCCCCAGCATTTTTGGGGTCACACCTGGTTGCTGGTGCCAGGCCCGTGGCCATGGGCTCCTGTCAGGGCTGCTCTGCACTGGGAACATCTCCGTGCACTCAGCCCCTGTTATTAATGCACTCTTGTGTGTTTTCATCAGCAGTTTAGATTGTCTCGCTGTGATAAGCTGCTACAGCAGTTGGAAGTTCTTATCTGTTTCTATTGCTTTCCTTATTTGTTTGTTTTCCTAGAAGAAGGAAAAGCTATTGCAGTTTCTCATTTTCTCAGTGTGCTTAGTCACAGCTCCTTAAGGCCAGGCCATTTGTCACAAAAGCTGAGATATTGAGAAAATTCAAATTTCCTGTGTGGTCTCATATGGAAAAATCTTCCATTTTTAGATTGTAGCATATTGAAAATATTCTTTCTTATTAAGTGTTTGCCATGTTCTGCTCTAGTCTCACCCTCCTACACTCACCCCATTTATAAATGGATTTCTTCTGATCCCAAAATGTCCCTTCCCCTCCCTGTGTCCCAGAAAAAGGCAGAGGGCTGTGGTGGGAAGTGTGGAGTGCAGGTGGAAATGTGGGATGCAGCACCTGGGAGTGCATCAGCAGCTCCTTGGTGTGTTTGCCACAAGAGCTCAGGTTCCAGGAGGGTGTCCTGCTGTCTGATGGCACAGCTGGGGCTGGCTGGGGAGCGCTGGCTCCACCTGGGCACAGGTACATCCTGTGCTGGGAGGAGGTGGGAGCTGCCCACAGCAAAATCTGTATTTGCTGTGTGTTATTTTATAAATAATTATCTGCATGAGTGACCCCCAGGATTTGGGGTTGTTTGTCGGGTGAGGGGACAAGGACAGATCAGTTTTGCTGCTCTTTTGGGAAAGGAGGGCAGAGCAGGGTTTTGCCATGGCTGTGAGAGGGGTTGGTCCTGAGGAGGCTCAGTGAGGATGGAGCTGTGTGCAGGCAGAGTTTCCTGGTGCTGCTGAGGATGGAGCTGTGTATTTCCAGCAGTGTTTCCTGGTGAGGATGGAGCTGTGTTTCCAGCAGTGTTTCCTGGTTCTGGTGAGGATGGAGCTGTGTTTCCAGCTGTGTTTCCAGCAGTGTTTCCTGGTGAGGATGGAGCTGTGTTTCCAGCAGTGTTTCCTGGTGAGGATGGAGCTGTGTTTCCAGCAGTGTTTCCTGATTTTGGTGAGGGTGGAGCTGTGTTTCCAACAGTGTTTCGTGGTTCTGATGAGGATGGAGCTGTGTTTCCAGCAGTGTTTCCTGATTTTGGTGAGGATGGAGCTGTGTTTCCAGCAGTGTTTCCAGTGCTGGCAGGAGGCTGATCCAGTGCCCAACACCCGACCTGGCTGGGAGCACACGGAACCCTGTGGGCCTCGGCCACATCCATAATGGATGAGGCGTAATGTGTGGGTGCATTTTAAATTTATCACAGCCAGGAAGATGGTTCTGCTCAGGAAAGTGATGCAATGGGTGCCCTGGCAAATAAACACTGGGGGAGGAAATGCAGGGCTATTTGCAATGGAAATTGGGTTTGATTCAGTTTCACAGCCCCTCCCCTCATGCTGTTAAAGAAGTTTGACTTTGAAGTGAAGCCCGGGGAGTTGTTATCTGCTCAGAGGCAGAGCAAACATTTGCTGTTATCACCTCTCTGCCCTGTGCTGAGGGAAGCTGGCACTCCAGATACCAGCACTGCCACTCAGGCACCGTGCTCTGCTGGAGTCCAGTGCCCAGCATGCCATGAATGGAGGGCTTAAATTTCTCTGTTTCTCTGGCTAAAGAGACAGAAATGCCAGTATTTCCTCTCCTGTGTGTCTGTAGCTGAGCTAGAGCCCTTCCAGGGCTTTCTGACTGAGGTGTCTGTGCCTTCAGCAGCAGCTTGGCTTAAAGTCAGACCTAAGGCCTGGCTCAAGTGGCCACTGCAGCTCCCCAGGTACCAGGGGCTGCTCTTGAGTCACTCTGTACCTGCACAACAAGGAGCTTTGTGCAGTGTTTTGAGCATATTTGCTGCTGGATGTGGAGCATTTTCCCTCTAAGATGAGGCGATGGTTAAGTGGTTTCCTCTTCCCTCCTAAGTGAGTAAACTTCCAAACCACTAAGCTGGTGAGTATTGACTGACTCACCAGTGGGATTAGCAGAGATCAAGCACATTATGTCTGGTTTTTGGACCTGGGCACAGCTTCCCCTGGTGGGACAGGGCTGAGCTGCCGTGTGCCTGCTGAGAGCTGGGCTGGCTGGATGGGGAGTGCAGTTAGGAGAAGGGTTAATCCTCAGTCCCTGCCCTGTGCGTGCCACAGAGCAGCAGCAGAGGGGCCAAGCCCACCTCTTGAGAGCCCCTGTTAAACTTTAATTTTCTTACAGGCTCTTATCAAGGACCAAAGGGCATCTGCAGAGCGTTGGTGCAGCTCATGCTTTCCAGCTGAACCACCCTTGGGGAGTTCAAGTTAGAAATCACCCCTCTGCCCACCTTTATCAGGTTTGGGGGTTGGGTACTGAGCGGAGCCTACGTGCTCAGTGCACACTCTGCAGGTGGTTGGCAGCTCCTGAGGTTTAATCCCCTTCCCTTCCCTCCTTCCCTGTGCCCTGCAGCACTGGAGCAGTGCTCCTCTGTCATTGCAGAGCCCCTGCTCTGCTGGTCTGGGAGCAGCAGCGCCAGACAGACACACGGACAGGTCTGTCTGTCTGGGAGCAGTGCTGGGGGGATGCAGACCAGCCCAAAGGCACCAGGCTGGGGAGGAGCAGGCTTGGCCAGCTGAGTGTGTTGGGATCCAGGCTGCAGGATGGGCTGGGATGTGGGGATGGGAACCCTGGGAGCTCACAGCAAGCAGGGCACACAGAGACGGCAGCCCTGGGCTGGGGTCACAGCTCCCACCCTCTGTATCCCCACACCTGAGGCTGTGCAAACGCTCTGTCTTGTCAAATCCACCCTCAGCCTGCAGGTCACAGAGCAGGGAATGGAGCTTTGACTCCTTGCTGGGAAGGGTGATCCAGAGCAGGCACAGCATCCACTGAGGAGCATGGAGGTGGCGTTGGCCCTCGGGCAAGGGCAGTGCCACTGCTGTCCCTGTGCTGTGTGTGCAGCACCCAGGCCTGTCCTTTCCCCTCTCATTACAGTGAAGGAGCAGTCCCAGGGCAGTTTGCTGGGGGCTGGCTTGGCAGGGCAGCCCAGGGCTGTGGTGTGTGTGGCAGTGCTGGGGCAGGAGCAGCACCCTGCACACCCTGGGGCTCCTGCCCTGCTCCTGGAGGGGGACGCGGGCCAGCATCGTGTCACTGCCACTGCTGTGTCCTACGGCAGGGTATGGACAGGGCGCAGCCATGAGGGCATGGACACCTCAAGGATGAAACGCTTTGCACAGCAGAAGGTCTCCTCTGTGAGCTTGGTGCTTGGGGTGCTGCTGAGACACGGGCTGGGATGTGTGGGGCTCTGCTTGCTTGCTTCCCTTCCTTGCCTTCTCCTGCCATTGCATGCACGTGCTCTACCCAGTGCAGGTGAGCTGGCTGGCTTAGGGCCAGAGGAGGAATTTGGCACCCAGCTCTCGCACAAAACCACTGGAACGGTGCGCTGACTGTTGGAGATCCCTCTGCTCCTTGCTGACCCTGGCCAGGACCTGCAGGGGTGTCCAAGGCTTTTGTCCTGCTGTGCTGGGGCTTGCCTAGGAGGGAGCTTGTCCTGCTTCCCTCTCATGAAAGATTCATCTCTGCCACCCTGCTCCCCATCCTGCAGTTCACTGACAGCGTTCCCTTTCTCCCGCAGGCCCGGGGTCATCACCATGCAGGCGCTCTCGGAGGAGGACCGGCGGCTCTGGATGGAGGCCATGGACGGCCGGGAGCCGGTGAGCAGCGATTTGGGGGCACAAAGCTGAGAAAATCGTGGTGATCCCTCGGGAGCCCGGGCAGAGCGCTCCCTACAGAGCCTGCCAGCCACGCAGGGAGCTGTAACCGTGGGGCAGCCTCTGCCTCCTGCCAAGAGAATCCTTTAATCCCTTGGTTAAATATTTGAGGTAATACTGTATCTCCCGTGCTTGGATTGCTTGGAGGTGCGGTGGAGAGGAGGAGGGTAGGCTTGGCCAGCACAAACATGCTGCTCTGCCGTGCTGAAAGGAAAACATGGCAAAAAGAGCAGTGGAAGAAAGCGCGTTGTAGATTTGCAGGGCTTTTGGAGTCCCGCGGCTCCTTGGCAGCCGTTCCTGGGGCTGCTGCAGGATCGGAGGTTTCGTGTGAGCGGAGGAGTGCGGCCCCCGTTCTTCCCCGTGTCTGCTCCTGCTGTGCCAAAGGCTTCCTCACCTCTGGAAGGGATTCTGGAGGTTTGCAGAAAGCTCATTGTTGTCAGTTTGTATTTTGGAATGCATTTGCAAACCTCACTGCCGGCTTGAGGAGTGTTGGCTGGCTCTGAGCGGGTCCCTCAGGGGTGCTGGGGTCACGGTGTGGCCCATCCCAGCTTTGTGGGGTGACTCTCCTGTGGCATTTACAGCACTGCTGAGCAGCCAGGACAGTCTGGCCTCTGTGCCTGTGGCCAACAGCGTTTTGGGATATGGAGAGAAGCCATGTGGAGAGCCAGAGCAGCCTGGGCTGTTTGAGCAGGTTTGAGCAGACCTCCCCAGATTCATGGAAAGGTTTTTGTTTGTCAGGAGAAATGTTCATTGGAGCCAGGTGAGGCATGGACACACGAGGCTGTTCTGAGTGCTGGACCTGGTCAGGCACTCGCTTTTGGAACGTGCAGCAGCTGGGAGATCAGGAGGCTGCGTGTGGGAGGTGCTGCCCTGCATTTCAGGGAAGGGATTGTGTGGTGGATTGCAGCCAGGTCCCAGCCTGGAGCTGTAGATCCATCAGGTAATTCAGGTAGGACGGGAGCTCAGGAGGTTTCTGGTCCAACCTCCTGCTCAGAGCAGGTTGCTCGGGTTGGGGCTGGGAGCATCCGAGGGAGGAGAGGGCACAGCCTGCCTGGGCTCCAGCCCAGCTGCTGCCCTGGCCTCCTGACCCCAAGGCTGAACCTCGCTTGCTCCAATTTACACCCACCCACAGAAGCTGTGGTTGCCCCATCCCTGGTCCAGATCCACACTGGATAGGGGTGGATGAGGTTTAAGGGCCTTGCCAATTTAAACCATTCCATGATTGATTCTCTGGTTCTGTGACAGCCTCTGCTCCCTTTTTCTGTCACCTGTTGGAAAGGGGCCCAGCCTGCTCCTCCACCCTTGGCTCTGGACCCCTGGAGCAGCTAGGGTGCCTCTCCAGCTGCGGGTGCCAGCTGTCTTGATCCCTCCTAAACAACCCCCTGCCTTGATTCTGGTGGCACCATTTCTTCAGAAACCAAATGGGCACTGCTGCTCCTAATCTGAATGGAGTCTTGTGCTCCCCCAGCCTGCTCCCCTGCCTCCCACTGCCCACCCCTGCTGGGAGCTGCTGTGGCAGGGATGGCAAAGCCACTCAGCTGCCATGGGAGCTGCAGGAAAGCGGTCACCCAGCTGTGTGTGAGCTGCTGATGGTGCCAGGGGCAGCACAGGAGCAGAGGCACTCTGCAGAGGTGCAGACACGCATCCTGGCTGCTTGCAGAGAGCTGTGCATGCCAAAGGTTCTGTGGAGCAACCAGGACAGGGCTGTCTGGATTATCCTGTTCCACAATGTGGTCATGAGAGCTCCTTCCAAACTGCCTGCATGCTGCTGCTCTCCCCTATCGTGCCCATCAGCTCACCCAGCACGGTGTCAGGGCTGTGGCTGTGTATTAGTGCCATACCTTGTGGCACTTCATTGCTTACACTGCCCTTGCAGGTGTGGAGTGGGAGCGATGGGAATGCTGCCTGCATGGAAAGGGATCCAGGAGACACTTTGCTGCTGAAGGTGGAGTGTGTTGACACTTGAGGCAGCTCCCTGTCCTCAGCTATCCTCCTCCATCCATCAGAAATGCAGCTGTGGGCTGTTCTGTTTGGGTTCTTATCTTACAACACCGGGGTGCAGCGCGTTATCTTCGTGTTACCTATTCCACGGGGATTTCCTTGAGCAAGAGATGAGGGTTTGACCTTTGGACTCCTAGAAATATCCATCCTGTGCTTTGACTGTATTTCTGTAACCAGAACCCTACTGGAAAGAATGTCTGGTTTTCCTTTGATTTGACTGCAGAGTGTGGGAAAGGATTGGCACGGTGGGGATGGTAATTCCATGAGCAAATTCAGCCTGTGCAGAGATTAGCGCGGACTGGAGTTTGTTTCTTAATTATAATGAAAAAAGTAAACCCAAATGTCAAATTACATCTTAGTGAGATTTAAACACAGAATGTGGCTGCATTAGCCAAGACATTTGTCACAACTTGAGAAGATTTACGCTGTGTCTCCCAGTCAGAGCAGCTCCAGACAGCCTTCATCACGCCGTTAACTCTTACCACTTGTTATTCATTTGGATAAAGCCCCCGTGTTGACTTTGGGTTTTCTTCCATGTTGCAGAGGCTGGAAACAGGAGAAACTGCTAACTCCATGACGGAGCAGCGGTGTTTGGTTTTGTTAAGATACTCAGGATCAGTTTCTTATGGATTTTCTCCTCTGCTGATGCAGTTTGCAAATGTATGTGGTGGAGGCCAGGGCGATTCTGAAACTTCCTTGGAACCTGAGTCAGGAATAAAAGCTGTGTTGGCTGATGGTGTCTGTGCTGGGCTGTGGGTTTAGGAGAGACACAAATTAGGCTGTGTCTTGTGGCGAGGAACAAGGTAAGCGTTTAGGTAAGGTTGTGGTGAATGA